AAGACCTGTTTCTGGAATTGAAATGTATAATATACCAACGTTCATTTTGATTCATTGTGCAGCAATCTTGTCTCCTACAGACGTAGCTAGGAATAGATAGTGCGAGAAACAACAAGAGGATTAGTATGTGCTGTAACAGGAATAAGTTCAAATGAATCTTATCTAATACATGAAAAAAAGCGTTTTCAGACCGGAATCATATAATTATTATATTAATCATATGGTATCTACTGCTTTTTGATCTGCTGTTTTATGATCTTATGGAAAAGTGGTTCTACTATCTACCTAAATTTACCGTCACGCTTTTCTTAAAATGTTTTGGAACCAAAATCACTTTCTCTCGTTTTTTATCTGCAGGCGATAATAAAAGAAAGCTGACGCCTATCAACCGCTTTAATTAATAATTTTTGAAAAGGAAACAACATCTCAAATAAAAAGAAGAAACTTTGGTTTTCTCCGCACCATACAGTAAAATGTAGAGTTCTGAAAAACTATAAAAAAATGTATCAGTCATACATCATCATACGCGATGGCAAGAAATGATCAGATTGACGTTGGAAAACATACTCGCAGTGCGATTAAAACATAATGTAAAAAACTAATAAGAAGGAAAGTATGATGACAAAAACCTAATTACGCAAAAGAGAAAATCATGAAGGCTCTCCGCCGTTTCACTCTGTCGCCTTAATAATAGTCTCTCTGTATAATTTTCTAAACATAAAATTTATACATTTTCAAAATTTTCTCCCCCACTGTCTCTCTTCTCTCCCTAACTACCTTTCGAAATCTTCCTCTTTTTTATGCTAGTGTCGTATGTTCAATTGTACCTATATTTCGTCTTCTGTTTCTTTTTCATAAATACAAATATGCATTCGGTTGATGTCAGTTTGACCAGATCTGTTGTGCTTCACTATCGAGCAAAGTAGCGGCCAAAAAAAAAGATTAATTACATAATATCTGGAAGGGTTAAAAACCGCTCTCAGAGAAAAAACCATTTTCATCTCATTTCAGCGGTTTCACATTTTCATAAATAAATAAATAGGTAAAAATTCTATTTTGAATAATTTATAAGCTGCACAACAGACGGTACGCGATATATCAGTCAAATATCACCTAGAATACTCGTACGTTATGACAGATATTTATGAAAAAAGAAAAAGAAGTAGTGATCCATTCCAGAGAGAAACCTTACACCAATTTTTCATTCATATTTATTTTTACAAACAATCTCGAGCAAGAGTTAGAAATAAAAAATATTTAGCTGTTTTGTTTTAGTTTATTGTCGACGAAAAGTGCAATGTTTGCGTCTTGTGCCTCTATTTTGTTTATTTTCAACATTTTATTGATCAGTGGTTATCCAACAACATTAGATGAAAGAGAACCTAAGTAAGTTTTCCATGGAGCTATAGAATAAACCACGTTCTTCTAGTGAAAACGAAACGAAAGTGTTACCATTAACGATGTTTTAGATGGTCCAGTTTAACTGCATTACCACCTAGTCAAATCGCGAACCTGTGCAAATATATCACTAGGTAAGATGAATTTTGCACCCACCTCCATTGAATGAAGCAACAATTTTAGACTTATGATAATACCTTTTGTTTCTCTAAATTCCAGGCTCAATTTGAAAGATAATATAGATGCAGATCAAATTGTGTAAGTTGATATTTATTTATTAGCCGTACGTTTACGAACTAACTCCATCTACTAATGTGTCATAGAAAAGTTTTGAAGATATAAAAGGTTCAAAAACTAAAGTTTTTAGTTTACTTTCAATAGTATTAGCCTAAAAAACTATGGATTTTGTTCAATTATTTGCACTCGTTTAAGTGAGGTAATGTTCAAGAGAATGTGATTTATGGCGCCCCCTCCACCACTGGATCAGAAATGCCGATTTTGGTCAGAAACATCGACTTTGAGAAGAGCACATAGTTGGATAGCCCAAAGTGTCTGCTTTCTAATGGCATAATTTTTATGTCGACAGGATAGATTTTTCATAGGTTTTGAGCAAGTGTTCCAAAATCTGTATAGCAAAAAAAAAGGCTTTTTTGCACTTTTATTGTGTATACGTACGCATGTGCTGCACATGTTCATTAGATCCGCCATGGCTCATAACCTATAGCAAAACAGCAACAAATTATTTAGCGCTTAAACAGTTTTTAAGTAAAACACATTTAACAGAATCAAACTTATTTTGGGTTATTTTTAAGCTTGTTTTTTAGCTTCAAGGCTTTCGCCACGCACAAGAATTCTCAGTAACGATACATCGGACAAAAGAAAACTTTGTTTTTGATTTGTAGATAACACATGTAGCTAGGAGTTACCAGAGTCCGATTTTCAAATTATGCTTCTGTTTTTTATAGAAGTGAGGATTTCTAAGAAACATTCCACGAATTTTTCGGACTTTAAAGTTCTATTAAGTACCAGAAATCAGTAAATGAGAAATTCAAAAATCGGGCTCTATCAACTCCTAGGCGTAGATGTTTAATATAAAACAAAAACAGCCCGAGCTCTCTATCATTTATCTGGAATGAGAATTCTTGTGCTTGGTGGACGCCTGTTTTTGACTCTTGTTGTGGCACCCTCTCACGAACAGTTGCTAACGGCGCCCAAAAAATTTCGTTACCACACTTTGACATGGTCAAAATTTCCTGGAAGTTTGGTTCAGATCAGACCTACCTGGGCTGAGATAGGTTTCTGATCCGAGGGGAGGGGAGAGGGAGGGCTTAAGTTGACGACACAATAATAATAAAACTGAACATGCAGCTTGTTCCGAAGACTTGAATCCGTTCCTATTTCGTATAAAAAACCTCTTATTTTCATTGAAATAATATTGGTTCTAATGTTTTGACGTTGCATACTTCTTATCAGACATTTTGATTTTCTTTCTCTTTTTTTTCTCTTCATTTCTTTGTTGAATAGAATAGGTTAGCGTAACTCTGGACAGCCTCTCTAATTTTTACAGTATTTTGAGTGTACCTGAAGCATTTTTACTCGGCACTAAAACAACACTTCACAGATGGATAGACTGGACATTTCTCTATTTACTAATGTAAAAATCTTGTTAAAGTTCAATAAGATTAATTAGTACTCATCAATGTCCAGAGAGCTCCTATGAAATGTCCAGAACTACCACATTTGAGATAATTATGGACAGTTTAGTGTGTCTCACAGGAGTAATTATGGAGAGTCCAGCAAAAATGGCTGGAAGAAACTAAAACAACTTTTTTTTCAACGGCAAAGTTTTACCTTTCTGATTAAAAGTTATACCATCTTGTAGAGAATTTTGAGCTCTGTCTATTTTGTAAATTGCTAGTCCTTTGGACACATCCTTGATTAATTATGTTTGAGTTTTAAACTGTTCAAAAAATTCTATACTGATACAGTATCCATATTCTCCACAGGAAACGATGAAAATACGTTTTTTTTTTCCAGTTTTTACATATATGATAGAGCTCATGGTTCTGAACAATTGTGCCATTTAGCATGGTATCAAAATCGGTTTCTAAAAGACAGCAGAAGTTGTTTTCTGTCTATCCCGTGCGATTTGTACCGAGTGTGCATAATTATCCCAAGCAAGAAAAATAAAAAAAACACTGTGTTCGTTTATTTTGGCAATTTCTAATTAGTTAATCAAGGATGTGTCCAAAGGACTAGCAATTTACAAAATAGACAGAGCTCAAAATTCTCTACAAGATGGTATAACTTTTAATCAGAAAGGTAAAACTTTTTCGTTGAAAAAAAGTTGTTTTAGTTTCTTCCAGCCATTTTTGCTGGACTCTCCATAATTACTCCTGTGAGACACACTAAACTGTCCATAATTATCCCAAATGTGGTAGTTCTAGACATTTCATAGGAGCTCTCTGGACATTGATGAGTACTAATTAATCTTACTGAACTTTAACAAGATTTTTACATTAGTAAATAGAGAAATGTCCAGTCTATCCACCTGTGAAGTGTTGTTTTAGTGCCGAGTAAAAATGCTTCAGGTACACTCAAAATACCGTAAAAATTAGACAGGCTGTCTAGACATACCCCAACCTACTCTAGATTTTTAGGACCCTTCTTACAAGAACAAAAGACTTGAATGTGCTCATCTAACGAATTTAATTCCTCAATGAGTAATGAGTATAAAAATAAGAAGATTTCGTTATCACATTTTTATATAAAGAATTGGATGAGATAGGTTTAAAGAATGTAAAGTTTTGAGCTTATGACAGTTTCTGTTGCTCAGTTTTCTCACAAACGTGTTGTCAGGCTCCACCAAACTTATTTGAAACTTAATTTGTATGTACAAATGGTTTATTGAGAAATCAAAATACCCTCTAGTACAGTATCTGCCTGTATAGGCGAGAAAGAAAGGAAGAACATAACAGAAAAAATATGATGTAATATAAACAATGATATCACAGGAGGGCATGAGGAGATAGTGACTGTATGATAAATACCTGTCCTATATTTAACAACGCAGTAGTTTCAATGATGTTGCTGCATCTCGGTTCTTCTGAGCTTGCATGACCTAACACATATTTTTTGAAACATGAAGGCTTTTAAGCCTTCATGTTTCTACATAAATTAGAAAATATTATGAAAAGAAAAAGAGATCTTTTTAAAGGCATTGAAGAAAAAAGTCTTATCGTAAAGGCGAGGCTGCATGATTGAGACCACTTTTTTTATGCTTTTTAATTAATTTAAAAAGTGGTTTCAATTTGGAAGTGTAAATTTTATAGTAGTAAAAGCGATCTCAATTTGGGATATAGAGTTTGCTCTTTTCACATATTTTATACACCATTTATAATTTCGAATCACTCTTTAATTAGAAATAATTGGCTACTGTAGACACAGAAACTGATTGAAATATTTTTTAAAGATGATGCTTAAAACTAAATTAAGCTGAGAACGACATTACTAGATTGGATTAGTTAGTTGGATATAAAAATGAAGAGCAGCATTGCCTTGAAACGCAATATCTCAGTTCGATTTCTTCCACGAATCCTATTATGTCTGCAACTCTACCTTTGTCTCGTACCAAAACTAAAAAAGACCAGGATGATATGTTATATAAAAGTTACGTATATCGTTTAAAATGCTCAAATAAACGGAACTCAAAAATGAGTCTGTACTTGTAATTCTTGTTCGTATTCAATAACAATAAAAGATGGTGTTATAATTGGTACTAGTGGCATTGATGATAATGGTACTCATTATTCAATGCGTGATCCAAAATCACCGGAGAATTGTGTTTTAATAAAGAAATGTTATATTTGTTGTATGTGAAAAGAACAAACTCCCTAATTGAGACCACATTTTATTTCTATAAGAAACGAGAAAATATGTGCGTTCTAAATTGAGAACACTTTTTCAATCTAATTAATAAGCATAAAAATAGTGTCTCAATCATGATGGAGCCCGTAAAGGTTGTGGGACTGAGTTATTGTCTAATTTTTGTGATCAATTGATCTAATAAAAGTGAAATAGAAAATATAAACGGTTTATAATGTTCTACGAGTTATAATTCTGTTGAATTGATAAAGTGTTGCAAATAAATATGAGATAATTCAACAGAAATAACAGCATAAAAAGAGAAAAACAGTGTCTGTTTTTGTATTTAGTGTAAGAAGATTTGCAGTTCCATTTCCTGATATGAATCGATTTTTAAGTACAAATACTAAATTACACCATTCTACTGATAAATCTCATCCACACGATTATCATGCTTATTTATGCAGGTAAGACTTTTCTGGAGGAGTAAAAAGCAATTAATTTTCACATATCCTTTATTTTTTCTAGTATTTCAAAGGATTCTGAAGAAGTAACAAATTTTATCAATGTATTTACTGAGGAACATGGAGAAGCGCCATCATTTAATATATTTGAATCATGTGAAAAAGTTATAAAAAAACGTGCTGTGAACAGGTAGCGAGTTAAAAATTAAATTAAAAATTTAACTGCGATAAAACATTTTTTTAATGGTATAGTGATTCAAAAGAACAAACAAAAGCAGAAGATAGCTCAGAAAACTCGACCACTAATCAATTAGAAGAATTAACGTGAGATATTGAATGTTTTTGTGAAGAAACTTATTTTGAATCATTTATTTTTGCCTCTAGGCAATTTTGTCATAATCAACCATCAACAGTCAATAAACGCTGGGGACCAAAACCGCTCGATGGACCAATTTCTATCGATTTTATAAGTCAAATGCTGGAAGCTCGAAAAGTCAAATCCTATCCATATTCAAACCAATTGGATCCATATGTTGTGTGAGTTTTGTAATCATTCAACTTTGCTCAACTCGATTTTCGTATGAACTCTTCTCTTTATTTTAGTGGACGTCGATAAAATCAAAATTTGCAGAATGACCAGAAGAAAGTAAGTATAATTTCGATTATTTTCTTTAGTGGTTTGGAGCGATCGAGTAATCAAAATTTTTATCTATATATTTTAGTGAATTTGTTAATCAAAATCTTCTGTTTATTCGTTCAACAAAGGCAACAAACAATAATCAACATCATGCTTTTTTTGGCCAGATAAAAGATGTATCAGAAAATAAAAGAAGATGCCGTAGCTCACGTTTTTTTGTTATACTGGTCTCCTAGTGAAATATACGTCTACTTCCATAGTTAAAAAACTGAAAATTTTCAGTTTTTGTTCAAATATTTTTGCACAGAATACAGTCAATATCAACTTAGAAATTGATAAAATCGAATGATTGATTCAAAGGGCTGTTAATACTTCTTTTTAATGCTGAACTTAAAATTGTTAAGACGATAGAAAATGAATCACTAATATGTTGTTGCCTTACCCTAATTCAACTTTTGTCAAACATTATTCAACCTAGTGAAAGATTAATTGTGCGGCCAAGGCGTTCAAAAACGAAATGCACTTTGCACCGTGCAGACTGTTGGTTTGAAATTTTTGTACCATAAAAATGTAACACTTCACTTCGTTTAATAATTCTTCAGTTCGTAAATGCACACTGTTGAGGGTATTTTACGAACTGAGACCATTTTACGAATTTCGTAAATGCACATTG